AAAGAGTGAGAGAAGAAGAGCAAGTAGTATTTGCACATAAGTGGAAATGAAAATGTTTTTAGACAAGATAAACAATGACAATACTTTATTAGCAGGATTTTCAAATATTCCTGTTTTTAACAACTAACTGTGTATCTGGCGACCCTGATTTAAACTAACGGGGTACTAAAATAACTGTTGTTTTCTTTTCATTTTAATCTAGGCTAAGAAATACACACTGACACACACTCTTAATGTAGAACAACCAGTTCCAGGGCCAATTATAGCAACAATTATAATACAAGTATCCCCAGCATTCTCTGTAGACTTTGGTAATATCTTCTGTTGTTGTTAATTTGGACCTGAGTCACGATGAGAATGAGTTTTGTCTTCATCTACAACATGCACAGTGCATTAAATGAATGTGAGTCTTATGTGTGTGTGACTCACTGATGGAGGCCGTGGGTAGGTATCATATGGAGGTGGGGGACTGTCCTGTTTGGGGCTGGCGGTGGCGTCATCCTCATGTTCACTCTCACTCCAATAATCTGTAGGAAACCCACACACATACTGTCAGAAACACAAGACTGTATTTATCTTGTATGAAAAAAGAAAAATAAACTCTATGGAGTGTCTTAACAACAAACATCAAAAATATAGGTATACTGTAAAGACCATAAAAATGCCATTGCAGGTAAAATGAGGTGGTAAAATATAGTAAAAAATACAGTGTCATAAACCCACTGAAAGTCCAGTAGGAAGAGGAGTGGGAGTATGATTGTGTTTGGTAGTTAAAGACACCATCCTGCTGCGACCATCTGCTAAAGCGCCCTTCACCAAATCACTGAGTGAACCCTCACCCTGCTCCTGGCGGATCCTCTCTCGCTCAGCATAGCCCACAGCGGCCATATTGAGACGACTCAGCCATCTATCAGCAAGAAACAACATCCAGAAGGAAGCTCACACAGGATTTATGGATTTACAGTATTACATAGCCAAACCAATAAATACATGTAAAAAAGAGGGAAACAAAGAGCTTGTAAAGAACCTTGTAACCAAAAACCAGGCCCCACGAAGCTGCACACTAAACCCACAATGAACACATCCACTAAAGGAAAATATCTAGTTCAAGTGATGACAGCTACAGAACCCCTGAAGTCCCAAAAAGTATAATTTTTTATCTTGTGTGAACATGCCTATTGATAAAACCACAGGGGGTAAGATGCATTTACATAAACACTTTGCTGATTTCCCAAGTATATTTGAAACATGGAGGCGTTTATTGCTTTATATGAACAGTTAGTTTGGCATTTTTGTAAAAATTTGAGCTCCTGGCTTCTACTGAAATTATTCATGTCATTATCATGTGTTCACAAAATAATTTCTTATTCCCACAAGATAACTTGTGCACATGTGAAAATATACATTTTGTAACTTTAGTAGATAAAAATAATAAGACATAAATAAAATGAGTATGTTGGACTGGTAGTGTATGATGTATTCAACTCTTTTCTAAACAACCAAACAGATACATTTTGTAGATGCCTATGTAAATGGTACCACAGTTGACCTGTTGAGCCTGTTGCTCAGGTCAAAACTCTACCCTCTATGAAAATACTGTATCTTGCAAATGACGTTTCTGACAGGTCACTTCCAAAATAAAACACAGGCCTCCTTATAATAATAAAATGTCTGTGTTAAGCTGCACTTCTGCCACCCAGCAGGTTTCTTGCCCTTCTGTATAGCCTTTACCCATGTTTAGCACAAGCTACCGTACCTGTTCATGTCGTCCACTCCGTCTGCTGCGAAGTAGAAACTCTTGACTTTGGGGTGACAGGCTTTGAAAGCACTAGAGAGACAAGGGGAATCAGAGGAAGTTGTTTTTGCAGGTACACATTCAAATTGCCCATAAACATGGTGAAGTAAATACACACATTGCAGAGACACTATAGAGCTGTTTTCATCACTTACTACTTCTTGCGACATTCACTGGCCCGGTCGATCTTAAATTCAGGGAGACTGACAAAACCTTCAGCCTTCTCATCCTGAAAAAAAAAAGATAGCAAATAAGCTGATAGGAAGTGGAATGAGCTAAAGACATCTTAAGGGGTGATATCAGTTTATTTCACTTCCCCTGGCTACTGTAGCTCTCTGGGTTGTGCTGTAATCATAGAGATGTGAGGAACTGCCTCACTGAGAACAACATGTATTAGCAGAAGTTGTGCCTCCTATAAACATGATTTCACATGAGTCATTTCAAAAGCTTTTGTCTCTGTGTCTGACTAAAAATAAATACAGAAAGTAGCTGCCTGCAATGGTCAGTGAGGGATGTACATCTGTGTCAACCTGCACATCAGTCCGTGTACATAGTGTATGTGTGTGTTTGGGCTAATCAAACAAGCCATGCTAGCTTCTTTGTGAGGTTTTATTAAACCAATGTCACATGAAAAGAACAGGAAAAGCACCCCTTATTCTGACCTGGAATAAGGGTGCAGTGTTCAAACATTATCTAAGGCAGTTAGCCAAAGTGCAAAGCTTGTGGTCATACCAGATAAACAGTCTAAATTGGACTCTTTGGCTGTGTTTACAGCAGTTTGTTAAGAGAAACTCAATACAAACAAGCACCTTGATGTAAATGTCAGTCGTGCACCTGCGGCTGCTCTGCCCACAGTTTGTGGACATGTCTGTAGTTCACCAAGTGAGAAATGTTGTCAGTGACAGAATTACCCTTTGGAGGCTGATCTGAACAATTTCTCTAACTCATCTGCTTGTAATTATACTGTAGTTTAAACAATATGATGTGACATAAGAGTATATACAGTCGTGCCAGTGGCTCTGAGGCTGTACTAGGAACATCAGTGCTTTTCCTTCAGGTACTTACACAGTTTTATATCCCTCTGTAATAAAGCAGAAACATACAATGCCTATTTCGAAAACATGCATAACCTCTATTAAATTACAGCAAATAGTGAGTGTGACATTTCATAATTTCTTCTTTGTTTCAGATACCCACTTTGCTAAATGTTATGAAAGACGGTACAATTTTTGAAAACTGCCATATTTGAAATAATTTCCACCATCAGCAAAAATTTAGATGATAGGCTAGAAAAGAGGGGACAAAGATAAAAACAAAGACTTACCTCCTCGTTGATGTACCAGTACAGACAGTTGTCCTTCAGAACAAACCAGTACTTCTTCCACTTCTGAGAAAAATAACTCTTTGCATCTCTCTTTCTCCACAACCAGCCCTCGCAGTCTCCTCTGCCCAGCGCCTTGCAGGAAACACGCCTCCTACTCAAGGAGGCCAAGGCTCGTCCTGAATAACATGCAGTAAACAAGAGAGAATATAAATCAGAAAATTGAAAAAAAAAATCACGGTTTCAAAAAAAAGTAAAAAAAAACATGCTGTTGTACTGTAAATGCTCACTCTGGGTATTTCATATGTGAATTAAAGCATTCACCAAATGTCACATTCTGATGTAGCAGTATGGTCTCTGGTTTTGACATAACTCCGCTGTACTGCAGTAACAAAGAGGTATTTCAGTAAGAAACTTCCACTGTGTCAAAAGTCTTATAACTTTAAAGGGGAAAATAATTCCATTTATTCCTGTGCCAATGTAAAGTGCAGTGTGTACTATATCTCTAAAGCTAACAAATTTCTTTTGGTGTGTCAGACACAAGAAAAGTCAAACATGCAGTGTGTAGATAAGTAATAAGTTATATACTCTGATATAGAGGGAAATATAGCTCCTGAAAAGTGCTTCCAAATAATGAGAATTCATTTTCTGTGCAGCAGCACCAGACTATAGACTGATACCATCACTAATTTAAGTTTTTGGCTTTATTCCTTTTTGAAAAATGAAGACTGTCTCAGACTGGACCAAAGTTCAGTAGTAACCTATATTCCATTACCTCCATTACCTTCATAAAAGCAATCTTTGCAGCATTTAAAGCCTTAATAAATCATCATCACATTCATTTTGATCCCGTGCTTTCATTGCTGTAAACAAACAACACCACTGCTGAAAAAGTGCAGATGGAACTAAAGCTTTCAGAGTTTCTCACAATGGCAGATGGTGGAACAAGTGATAGGCCAATGGAGGAAAAAAAACACTTTCAACATGTTGATCTTTTTTAGTGTGGTTAAAAGAAAAAAGTTTGGTCAAAGAGGCAATGAAGCTGAGAGCAGGGAGCTGGAAATATGACAAATGAGGAGTAAAACCGTCTAACAACTAGAATTACCACCTTGCGGTTGAATGACTCTGCCGCCAGTCTTGTATATCACATGTAGTGAAGGCTTTCAATAAATGTAATAAAACATATTAGGTGTACAGCTTTTTTTTTGGCAAAATCACTATATTAACGTGTGATTCTAGTGAATGAGTTCCAGTGAGAATCATGCTGTCTTCACTTAGAGGCTGTTTTTACAGAGGAGTGATAGAAAAGCTTTGTCACATTGTGAAGTGACAGTCACTTGAAGCTGAGTATCAGCAAAACCAATGAGCTTTTTTTGTTGGGCTGCCAGAGGCAGTGAAGCAGGTGGACTCCTTCAGGCACCTTGAGGTCCAAATCAATACAAAGCTGGACTGGACATTTAAAGCCCTCTTCAGGAAGGGACAGAGCAGATGACCTACAAATTCTAATCAGTTCATCCATGTTCCTCAGAAATTCATAACTGCTTATAAACTAAATTGCACCACTGAAAGTCTTGATTTTATTTTATAGTTTGTACTAAATTAAAACAATGTTTTCATTACTTGCAAATTACAGACTCCTAAAAAAGAAGTTAAGATAAATGGCTTAAATGAAGCAGTAGCTGCTCTCATGTTTTCACACAATACCCATTAGTTCTGCATCCATGAGACAGCTGACTTATCACGGCTGGCCAGCATGTGGGTGTGGCAGAAAAATGAAACAGAACAGGTGGCTTTCCTGCCTACCTTTATTCTTCTTCCTGTTCTTTGACTGCAGAGGGGAGGAATGCTGGTATGTCTGAGAGAGGTTGGAAAGAAGAGAAAAGAGAGGGGGAGATGAATCAGTGGCCTTTGCTGGACAGAATTCTGAGATATAAGACATGACAGATCTTAAAGAGCAGAGAAGATGGGGAAAGGAGGCAGGAGATACATGGATACGAAGGAAACTGTCTTTCTGTCATTGTCTCTTTCTCTCACACACACATGTGGAGATGGAAAAGTCAACCTTATGGAGGACTTCAGCAACTCTCACATTTCTAAACATAGAGCAGAGACAGGAAGGGAAGGGAGGGAACAGCGGCACAACAGGACACCCAGGTGATGGAAGAAATGTGAGAAAATAGAGCTCGGGGGCCTTTGGGACTAAAGAGACACTTCTGTGGGAAAAATGTGAAGGACAAACATGTACAGAAACACCCCACCCCCTGCCCTGAAACAGCCCCGTGCACCTCCCTTCCCCCCATGCTGCTGTAGGCTGCAACCTGAGAGCTGTTTTTGCATATGCATTAATGTCCATACAATCATCACTTAATTATTTTGGTACTATTCTGAGGCAGTTTTTAAAGTGCCTTTGGTAACTCTTTATTTTAGAGGTCCCATATTTTCCATTTAATTAACTAATTCATTAAAAAAAATATTGATATTTAGTTATAGGTTACCAAGATATTTCCAAGAATTCACTCACTATATTTAAAAAAAAAAAGTGAAAAATAAGTTCATAAACAGATGTCAGTATCAGAGTTTCTGGACAGAAGAACAAAATTCTTAAGTTTGATTCTTCAAGACTTTAAAGTGCCATGCTACAGATTTTCTTGGTAACCAATAAACATTAATTTATTTGACATTTATGCTAAACATTGTTTTAATTACATGCATAACCCTAATCTTTAGTGATTCTGGACTTTCCTTAGTTTTGTGGATAAGATAAAAACTATGGATTCAAGATCTCAAGAAAAACAGCTGCATATCTGCTTCAGCACATTGTTTTAGGATACCTCAAATTCTATAACAGATATGGATGTGTTTAACTTTTGTTCTTAATATTAAGAACAATTTTATCCTACTACCTTTATCACTTTTTTATACTTGAATATAATGAAAGTCCTTTACAACTGTATCAACTAACACATTCATCACCCTTGAAAGAATCTGTATCACTGTGCTCAGATAACACAAGGCAAACAAGAGCATCCACAAATGGTGATTGTGATTGTGTCACACAACACAAATTCACAGACTCTGGTCATTCAGCTTTTCCATAAGAGCTGCAAACACCAGGATCACGTTACCAGCTAGCATTGTACGGTGCTCCACCTTTGTACAGTTAAACTACAACTGAAGCCCTGGCCAAAGAAAAGCCAAGAGTGTGATCACTGAGCACTTTTGTAATTTACTAGACAATCCTATTGTAGAGCACTTTGCAGTTTAGTAACTTGCCTGTACATCTGTATCTTAGATGTTTATTTACAGTTTATTTACACTGCAAATCATTACCATCTGCAATGCAATAAAAACTATATATATTTGGATTTTAGAATGTGTGATGTTTAGTGGCTATTATTTATTGAATGTATTTTTAATGATGTTGCAAGTCATTTTCTTGATGATAATGACACAGTATGTAGAATTTTGCAACATCCCTATATTTCAGGGGACTACAGAAGAAACTTAGCTCTGTAGCTAACTCTCAGACAGTCAATGGCTCTCTATATTCCCTGTTAAATAAACTAATTAAAACAAACACTTACAGTATAATTAGTGCCCAATTGCAGTATTAACAGCTACAAAGCAGCAAATCTTTAGGAAATTACAGAGAAATTAGTTGGAAAATACAGCACTTATTTAAAAAAGTCTCACTTGTCTTTGTTCTATGATTTCTAACCAGATTTATGGGTATTTATTTGCAAAGTACATCACAGAAAATCATGATCAGTAATTTAAGTCACACTAAAACTAAAACCATGCCTACTGTGACTGAGTTAACACACCTGTCCCTTTCCCTTCGTGTCAGTCTTTGCCATGCACGTCTCTCTCCTTCTTGCCTCATAATCTGAAAACCCGCGACCTGTGAAAACTTCCAGCTCTAGACAACACATCTGAGATGTGACCTCTCTCGACAGGTCAGATGGGTCAACAGACCAGCTCTGATGTCACAATATTACACATGTCAAAACCTGGAGCTGGGCCATTCACAGCCCCATGCTCAGCAAGACAGATGACATGGACCCGCCTACACCCGCTGACAAGCCATCTGCCATCACAGCAGCCATAAACACACACTCAAACATGGGCATACAAACACACACATGCAAACACATTTAATTTCCAAGAGATGCTGTCAAGATATATTAGGCCACTGACGGTCAAAGCGACTGTCTGGCCAGAGAGTGGCGAGCTCAGACGTACAGTCAGGGCAGACAGATGTCATGGAAGGGACGGGGGTAAAGATCGAGTCCACATTTGCTCAAATCACACTTCACTGTAGCACTTTTTCATCAGAGAAAAGCTCAAATTCTTTAGTTTTTATATATTTTTTTTTTCTCAAACATGTGAGCCTTGACTATGAACATATATTAGAACATTTTTACTGTGAAGGAGCAGCTGAGTTAACGTCAGAGGAATTCACCAGTCCAGCTTTGATATACATTTTGCAACTATGATATACTCTACAATCCTGAAGCGGCCGATGCCTATCTTTGCTTAGTTTATTTATTGATTGATTTTGGTGTTATGTTGATAAGCTAAGAGCTCACTGTGGTGCAGGTAGGTCTGTAAAGTACTTTATTAATCCCGAAAGGGAAACTCAGCAAGAAAATGAACATCCAAAGAGGGGACAGGAAAACCAACCCACTGGTCAAAACTAATTAAAACAACATGGAAGGGAATTTTAGAGATTTTAGTGTCAACAAAGACCCAGTTGAAGGGTTGAATCTTTTTAAAAACCTACATGTATCATAACTGTGTCATTTAATTGGCCTGGTTCTTGCTGTTGTAAAAACCACGGTGTAAAGGACAATGAAGTGACTTACATGATAAGTGGAGGCGGGCTCTTTGGGTGGAGACTCCCTCTGGTTTGTCTGGAGGACATAATGAGAGGGGCTTTGGCTGTGGTGGCTTCGCCTCTTGGCACGTTTGGCTGTGTCACTGGACCGTTTACCTGGACGAGCTGTGTGGGAGGAGTAGTCGTCCGAACTTTTCCTCTCATCGCCACCAGGCAGTCCCACATAACGCATCAATGATGCTTCTGAGAAAACAACCAATCAAATGAGCACAAGATGCCAATGTAGCAGAAGGAAATGCAATAAACTAGCATCTAGAGTAATTGTTATTATTTTGCCTGCTGTATTATCTGGTCATGTTGATTATGTGTTTGTATTTTTTATAGTGTGTAATGTTCTTCATTAGTCCTGCACATCAGGAAATTTTTTTATCTAACTGAGGTGATCTGGGTTAATTAGAGCAAAAATACAAACACTGCCAAAATGTCACATCACTTAAATATTCATCAAAATTAAACAAGTAGTGATTTGACTTACAAATTTTGACCTTTAATCACAGCATCATTATTGAGCTAATCAGCTATGCTGAAGTGCAAATTTCTGTAAAGTGTCCAACACTAAACTGGTTTTGCAATTTGGGTGTAGCACCCTCAATCCCCTGAGTTTCCAAAATGACCCAAAAGACCATTACAAAAACAATCCATACTGTATGATAATTCCCAGATCTCTCACCACTATGCTTAATAATTAATTCACTACATCTGTTTCCATTGCACTTAATCATATTTGCTGTTACCAATACTCCAATAATTCCACCCCAGGCAAGTGTAAAACCAAGTGGATGAAGCCTATTGGTTGCTTGTATGAACAATCAATGTTGTCATCTTCCTGTTGAGTAGAGCCACAAAATGACACACTGAGAAATGCTGTGTGAACTAATAGATTCATATTTGAGAAGAATAATCCTGCTTATTGAGAGCCAGCAGTGGCAGTCTGTACACATGACTGCTTACTGAGTGTATTCACTTACACACTTGGTAAGTATCCAGTCTTTTCCAAACAACTTCTCTTCATCGAGGAGGAAACTCAGGTTTCTCAACCTCTATTTCCACGTTTCCCACCCTCCTGTCCTCCCTGGTTGCTAGGCAGCAGCCAGAGGAAAGAGAGACACTGAGAAGAGCTGCTGTCAGTGTCACCATGGCAACTGTGTGAGTGATTCAGGTGCAGGTTAGGGAAAATATTTTTTCTGTTTCTCCCCCTCCTCAAATCTCTTCTTTCCTTTCCAAGGCTTTTTTTCTCCCTGCCTTTCATCTCTCTGCCTTTGTACCGACTCTCTACCTTTTCCCTCTGCCTTTCTCATTCCCTCTTATTTAATTTCTCTGTGATGCTAATCACTTAGAGAATTAGAAAAAGGGATGGAGGCGCATTGATCTCCACACACATCTCTTCATAATACACAGAAGCAGGAACATTTAACAGACTCTAAAAGGCTCTTCAGGAGGTGCACACACACACAAACACATACAGTACACGCTCCATACGCTGCCGCTCACCTCTGCGACTTTCTCTGTTAAGCTTGGATGGGTCCTCATAGTCGCCCACCCAGTTACAATCCACAGGCATGGAGATGGGCCTCAGCCTGCCTACAAGTACACACATGATTACAAAAATTAATACTTCTTTAAATGAATTTACAATTTCATTTACAAAACAAAAATCAAAAATGATAAGGCAGTGGGTAAGAGCCTTCTTCTTTGACCGACATTTATCACAGACAAATCCCACACAAAAACCCAATCTCTCCACTTCACTACAATCCAATCCAATTTTATTTGTATAGTGCCAAATCACAACAAAAATCATCTCAGGGTACTTTACATAGTAAGGTCTATATCAACCTTCCTTCCCCTGTGTTAAACATCCTCCCGGTTCCTCAAACAGACTAGCATTTTATGTTCTTATTTTTATTCTTGCTTTTTTATCATAAACCCTTTATTCTATTCTGTATTCCATCTATAGCACAAGCACTTTTCATGCCTTCAGTTGTTTTATTGTGTTTTTAAGGTGCTTGTGTTTCATATTTTTGTGTTTTACTGCCACCTTACTGCAAAAAGAACTTCCTCTGATGAGGCTATAAAGATCTAAACTGAAATGATATTCTCCTCAGTCTCATTTTAGATGCCGATATGTAATATTTAGGAATCTTGCAGAGTTTTTATTTATGTTATCTATAGATTGTCCATCATTTTCTAAAACTTTTTACTTTAAACTTAGTGCTGTCAAGTTCCCTCTCTCTCTTGTCACACTCGGTGGGTGTACCATATGTCGGCGTGGTGCAGTACACAGGCTCCTCCTCTTCTCGCCGGCGAGACTCTTGATCCAGGAAGGAGTTTGGTGACTCAGAGCGTTTAGAAACGCTGGCGCCACCATGGTTACGAGATGCCTCATCTCCAGACAAGGCTCCGGTCTCATCTCTATGGCAACAGCACAGGCAGATTTATTAGCAAACAGTCAAAGTCAGGGCTTCTCTTTGCTGTCAGCTGTAGCTGATTGTTCCTTTCAAAGTACACACACAGAGTGTACAATACCTGGGTGTGTATGGCTCAGCAGGTGGAGGGGGAATGTAAAGGTCCTGGAGGGCGGAGCTCTTAGTGGGTGTGCCTGAGGGTGTGGCTGAACTGCTGCCTGGGCTTCTGGTTGGCTGTAGAAAAGAAAATAGGTTGTGGTTAGGAGGAAAAAAATAGAGGAAACCTTAGGAAAATCAAGGACCCCCTCTTTGCTTGATACTCAACCAACTGTGTTTTAGTATGGTACTATTCATTTTCTGTTTATAAGGCATCTTAAATGTGTGCAGCCAGTTGTTTTCTCCTGTGCAATGAAGGATTGCTGCACAATTTGGATGCTTACATTTAGTCCTAAGCCACTTTCACATATGAACTCCAAACAATATGTGCTGAATCAGGTTACCCTTTCACACAAAAGGAAATAGTCCCTATCAGATGTGTTCCCACCTGCTGGAAATGCTGGGTCCTGTGTCTTCATTATAAAGGACTGTTTTTATTCATCATTGGATGTTTGTTTTATCTGGCATCATGCCAGTCACATGATAGAATGTCATCAACAAACCCACTTGCTCGGTTTGAACACTGCATACTATAAGTTGCTGTATTCACACATGGGCTCACACGGACTTTACCCAGATTTTGTACTAGGGAGCTGGCAGAGTAAAGTCCACTTAATGTCTGGGTCAACTGACTCAGACATTTGGGCTCTCACATACAGCTCTTATGGGTAATGTCTAGATAATTTCAGGGTGTCAGTGCATGTCTGAAAGGGGCTATAGAGTACCTTAAAAAAGTGGTTTAGATAATCTAGATTGCCTGATTGCTTGGGGTTTTTTTTGCCGTTCCCAGATCCCAGCAATTACTGCGGTGACTGCAGTGCTATCTTTCAATAACCAAAAGAAAAAGTGGCCAAAAGTACAAAACTCAAGTTGTCAAATTATCTTTGAAGAGTTTCTGCTAAATGCGGTTACAAAAGACAGTGATGGAGGGCAGAGGAAAACTGTTTCCTCCCGACTGATTATATAATTAGTGTTAATTAGGGAGATACATTTCATAGTTAGTGGGAGCAATGGGAATGTGGGTGGAGGATGCCATCAATTTTCCCTTCCCATTTATTCCAGTGTGCAAACAAAACCATCCTGAGCCACAGCACCCTGACCTAATTACATGCTTTGGCTGCAGTCATACAGGGAGAGCAAATACTGTGGGGAGTTATGTGTGCCACTGCAGTGCTTTAATAAAGTCTATAAAAGGTAGAGCTGGTCCCACCTGCAAAGCCAGAGGTTTCCAGCGCATGTTCTTCAGCAGCGCAGGGGCAGAGCTGAGCGTGCTCTGTGGACGCTTCTTCAGGGTCAGGGACACGACGCCTTTATCAGCCCTCAGTGAACCAACCAGGTTACGTAACTGCCAGCCCACCTTTGGATGGGAGAGGACAAAGGGTCACAGCATAAAGAGACCTGCTGAGAAATATCCTCATATGGATAAAAAAAAACATGCAATACAATATGAATTATAGCTAGAAACTGTATTTAGCAAGGATTTTGAATTCTGTCCACATCGTGATTGGATTTGGCTCGTTGAGCCTTCTGTACAAGTAGGTGGGCGTGGAGGTGGTAAGTCTATCTATAGAGCTTTCATGTGATGTAACCTGCCCTCAGTTTGAAAACAAATGCATCTCATCATACAGAATATCTTTAGCAAAGAGCCTTGTTTATGGGAGATTTATGAAGAAAAACCTACAAGGTTCTTTCTCTGTGACCTTTTAGTCATATGTGCTTTCCTCATTAACGGATTGACTTAAGATCTGATCATAAGGTGAGAGTTGGGTGGAGGATCTGATTACACTACTTGCAATGCAGGCTGCAGGAATTTGTTCAAGGGCAATACTGATGTAAACAGGAGAGTCACCTTATCACAGAAATACAAAACACAGAGGTGGAACTGGTTTAACTACCAGTTAACTAAGATACATCTCAGTGGTTTAATCCTGATTCTTAATTATTTTAAAAACATCCATCCATCTGTAGAGCCACCAATCAACCTAAGCTGCATGAGGGAGGAAGCCGGAGTACCCAGAGAGAACCCACGCAGGCACAGGGACAACATGTAAACTCCACAAAGAAAGGCCTCGGGTTGGCCAGGGTTCGAACACGGAACCTTGTGGTCACCCACATTAGATAATCTTCTTAATATGTTAATGTAAAGTTGCTGTTCATTTTAATCATTTTGATGATACTAAGTGAGCAATAACCAATATTCACTTGCACAACTATAGTATGAGCATACTGTTAGCAAACATTCGCCTGTTTCCACATTCGCCAGCTGTAGACCAGCATTAACACTCATTTAGAGTTGTGTTTCTCTTTTTTGCCTCTATCACCTCCTGAGGGAAACATGCAGCTCTTTATTTGCTAAATACTCCAAAGTGTTAACCAGCTAGCCACTAACTGTGTCTGTTTGCTGTCTGACAGGGTGCAGTGAAAAATGCTGGTGAAAGTTAGTGCTATGTATTAGACAAGTGAGAGTGAACTAAAATGTTCAGTTTGCAGGAACACAATCAGCTGAAAGATGCTTCAGAGCTCAGAACTGCAGAGTGCTGGATGAGGACTCATCATGACATTGTCATACACATCATACACATTGTCGTGTCATTGATTGTTATTACAAAAATATAACATTTGGCATCTTTAAAACTGAGCTGCAACCATTAATCAATACTCACACACATCACACAAATCTTCTGAGTAAACACCTGAACAGTCTTGGAGGAGGAAATCTAACAATGCTCCATTACAATTAGAAGTCCTGCATTTAAAAATCACATCTAAGTAACAGTACATAAGTATCATCAGCAACTAAAAGTGAAAATACTGATTCTGCAGAATAATATAACAAACAAAAGTATATTTAGAACACCAAGCAGTGAGACACCCACCACAGTCTGGTGATTGACTTGAATGACTTCATCTCCTGCATGGATCTTCTTACAGCGGTCTGCTGGAGACTAGAGAACCAGAGAGAGATAAAGAAAGAAAACAAACAACTATAAATTGATCTGAGTTTATTGATCCCTGCATACCAGAGTGGGGACATTTCACAACAAAGTGCACTTAAATAAGCTAGAACATAACAGAAGGAACTGCTTGCAGAGCCATCTCTGATTTGCTGTTATGGAACCAAATGTGGTCCATTTTGCAGATATTCTGAATAAGAATGGGCTTTTATACCCTAAAATCCCAAAGCCTGATGGGAAATACAGTTTATTGGTATTAGTGGGAAATATTTTAGAAAACTAAGTGTTCAGCTATCATTCAGCATGTGAAAGCGTGAGAAATGGGACTGTAAGGTTCTCACCCCTTCAGTAGTTCCTGTGATCACATGGAGGCCATCGTAGGTTGACTTGATGTACATTCCCTGGACAGACGGACAAAAACAGTGATGAAGAAGGATTTGTGTAGTTATTTTTTGGATGTGAAAGTGCAACAAGTTCACTTTCTTATCCACTGTCATATGTTTCTGAGTGTGTTGTAAACTGTAACTTGTGCCACTCACGCTAAAAGTAGTTTATACAATAAACACCACGGTAATTCTCTTTGGAAAAAGTGTTCACAACCTTAAGAATTTGAAGGCAAAGTAACTCATATCAGTTCAGAAATCAAGCCAATGACTTTTATTGTGATGTATGTGTTACAACAGCCACTTTATAGGAAAAGCAGTCTAGGTAATGAATTGATGGATGTGCTTGCTGACCACTGATAATGGGCACACAAACTATAAAACAAACACACCTCCTTACTATCGAAGGAGGAGATAAGTTGCAGTGTGGCAACAGAGCTGTTGTCTGGTTTAGTGAATTACCTGAGGCACATGCTAATGCCAAACTATCTTTTCAAACAGAAGCAACGAGCTGCTGCTCAGTTAACACAGACCAGGTCCTGAGCTGAGTGTCAGACAGCACATTCAGGATAAGCAGCACTCTAACTACACATACATCAGCACTCTTCACTGTCCTGCTTTGACTGAAGATGCATTTTAACAGTGGAGGTAAATGGTGAAAGATTTCCTGGACTGGTGCAATAGTATTTGAAAACATGAGTCAGTCTTTGTTTTAAGTCTGGCTCATGTTAGTCTGATCTAATGCAAGTTCTCCAGTGAAGCCTGGAAGTTGTTTAATACTTGGATTTAATTTGATCAGTTGTTGAACAGCAGCAGACAAAGTGCTAATTGAAATCAAGTCCATTATTTTGTGTTTAATTTATAACACAATCTGTTCTCTACACTTTTAATGTGCTCTGATTTTATGAACACAGGTCATGTTACTTGTTAAAAATGTTTTTCTATGGAAAAACAGGACTATTTATTTTAGAAGTGAGCAAAGCGAGGTGCTAGCTCCCTAAGTGTTGCACAAAGTGACAGGCAAATAAAACCTGAAATATACAGGCAAACACAAGAGAGGATACTAGTTTAAACAACACCAAAGGAGAGTATGGATACCTGAACAGGAGGGTTTGGTTTGGGCAGAAATTTAGAAATTATGTTCGGATCTGTGTCAAGTTTGGACACGCAGGTCAAACTTTAGGCTAGATGGCTGGAGCACTCAAATGTCTGCTTGGTTTAATAATAGCAGGAAAACACCGCACAAACTCAAACATGTCAGGCTTGTGTCGGGTTTGGATATTATATACTATAAGCTTGTAAGATCCAGGTCAGGTTTAGGTTCCACGCCCTTGGGCAAGGGTTGGGTCTGGACAGAAATACTGCATGCAGCCCGATCCATGCTCCACACCAAGGCCCAGTACATGCAGAGATCAACAGTCATTACCAGGCCTTCAGATGGTTTGATGTTGGTGAGGTGAACCAGCTCGAGGTGGGCTGACTGAGAAATCAGCGGGTCTGAAGACACACACACAATGTGCTCACACACCTCTGACAGAGTCTTACACTGCAGATAAGAAGAAAGAGAGAGGACCAGTAATGATACACAGAAAGCCTCGACAGGTTCACTGGTGATGCTTTACTAAAAAACTGAGACAAAAATGACATAATTAACTGCCTTTACCTCATATTTGTCAAAATGAGATTATGTTTCTAATAAACTGCTTTGCTTCCTGCCATAATGGGTGTTACTGCTTTGGTTTCTTTATTCAAGTTTTTCTATGACTTTACTGGGGAAAATAAATGCAGCAGCTCTCTAAATAAAATGGCTTAAAATGCAGGCTGCAACTGTTGACACAGCTCTAGTCTATTAGTGGTGTCTCCTCTCCTCCTAGCAGCTCTCCTACTTCAAGTTGTATGTATCCATGCAGATAGTTTTGGTTTATTATCCACTTTCACATGTCTTCCCCTCAAACTAAAAATTGTTTAATTCAATTTGTGGCACCCACAGCAGTGAAAATCTGCACCCAAAAGCTGACCCCTCACAACACACTGTCAACATCAGGAACCATTTTCTAGGTAAAAAGTAGTTAAAAATAAAAAGTGCTGATGTATATTCTTCAGAATCCACAGCAGCAGCTCCCAAGAAACATTTACAGAGGACTTAAAGCTTCCTGCTGTATTGACAGTGAATTGTAGAGCAGGATAATTTAAGCTTTTTTGCTCCATAAGCATCACCAGTTTTGACTTTGTTCCCTATAGAAAGTGTGTATACATGGTAAATCTTACCTGTCAGCTTCAGAGCAGCCGAATTAATCACATTCATACTGTAGGTCGTTTTTTTACTGCAGACTTTTGTGACTTGTCATAATAAGGAAGCACAGGTAGAACTATATTGTATTTACAATGGTTGTCTTTCAACAGTTACTGCAATGCAGTCCAGCATTTCAACACACATGTTTGACAAGTCCAAATGCCTGATGTGAAACTGGTCAATTAAACTTTAGGTGACCCCCCAGTTCAGAAATGTCATTTAATTTCATATATATATGTATATATATATCTAGCTTGGGCTGTAAATGTTGAGGTATGTGGCGTTGCTTAATGCTGCTGTGTAAACTTGTCGCAGCATTGTTGCTGAAGGTCTGAACTTTAAACAGCAGGCTACCTGTTTTTCTCTGCTTCCAGTCTTTGTGCTAAGCAAAGGCTTACCCATACTTAACACACATGCATGACAGTGGTATCAATCTTCCTGGTAAAAAAAAAAAAAAAACTCAAATCTTACATATTTATTAAATACTACTGGAAGCAAATTCTACAAATTTTAATCCAAATACCAGAGTTTCTGTGTTTGTGGAATATTGTTGAGTGGCTATGAGGGGACGGTAAATAAAACCAGAATGCTACCCATCAACACAGAACAAACAAGCAACAGCTGGCTGAGGAGGCAGGACTCACCACATGAAGGATTTTGTTCTCCGTCTCAAACACCGTACAGTCCTGAGGGACAAAAAAAATGTAATGTAGCACAAGCAGAACATTCTGTCTCAAATACTCAAAGACACGCCATCTCATCCTGCTCACATTGCTTCTCCTGTATACTGTCTGGGCCTCACATTACTGAACCCAAGACCTGCACACGCTATACCCTTGTAGATAAAAACATGCCCACACAAACAGATACATTTATCTTTTATTTATACACACATCTGCCACACATAAGACAGACTGTAAAGCCATAAATAGCCAAGAGTCTCGGTGAAGGATGCGGCGAGCAGTGTCTGAGGCTACTGTGTCCCTCCCACACACACTGCTCATAGGGGGATATGACAACCCACAGCAGCTCCCCTCTGACTCATGCTTCAAGTGGAGGAGAATAAAAGCTATCAGCCTTCGAGACATATACGCACACACTGTTTGGCAGACACAAATAATTCCACACACCTGCTGTACAATAGTGGTGAGCTCCAGGCAGAGCTGAATGACATTATTTCGGGTTACAGAGTAGTCTGCCACTGCAGCAAGGGGAGACCTGGGAGGAACAGATAACACACCAGTATGTTTTATAATGTTTCTGCTTCATTATATACAGCAGAGATGGAGAGGAGCATTGTTAGAGAGAGCTGAAGCTGACACACAACCAACACTGTGTGTACACATACACAGGCACACAAAGTCACATGAGAATCTATTTATTCAATAAGTGAAAAAAACTTTCAGAAAGGTCCTCTAAGGTTCATTTATGACTGAATATGGCAAACTGTGCAAGAATTACAAATCAGAACAAGTTGCATATGTTATGAGTTATGGTGATTAGTCAACCAACTTGCAGCTAATTTCATTTCAGTCAATTTTAATAGTCAATTTTTAACTGTAGCTGCCACCTTGGAAATCAGGAAACTGGGATGGACATTTTTCAGTATGACATTTATCTTTTTATAGGCTAAACAGTCCACATGTCGAAGTGTCCTTGGGCAAGACACTGAACTCCAAGTTGCCCCTGGTGGGACACAGAACCCCCAAGTTGCCCCTGGTGGTTAGAGCCATCAGTGTGAGTTGGTGCCACAGATGGCTACCTCGGTTCTGTACCGGAAACAAATTCCTTGTGTGTAACATGCTTGGCCAAATAAAGCTGATTATCCTTATCCTTATCCTTTTAATTGTCAGCAAATTATAGAAAATACCTATCATACTTCACCATTAACCATCCCAGGCAGGTCCGGGGGACAATGGATAAAAACTTCACAGATGTACTCCAAAATCAACAGTAACATTCTTCCACAGAGAGAAGAGGATACAGCTCCAGTGGACGGATGAATGAAGTGGCATTAGTGAACCAGGTAAATAGGCCATCCTGTTCTAAGTGCACCACTTTACACACCTCATACTGACTACGTGTCACTGTAATAAAAAAAAAAAACAACATATACACAGTTTAGACCTGGGTGTTCTTCTTTTAAAAGCCTCATATTTAAAACGACTGAAATAAACTTTGTGAGAATTTATTATTGCTGCTAACTCTGCCGATTCCCAATTTTCCAACAAGAGCTTGCACTGAAGTGTACATATTCTGCTGTCGATTCTGTTTTTCATAAATCTGTTTTCCTGTGAGGGTAGGGTCTTTAAAGGCTTTTATTATACAAACACCGTGTTTAAAATGAGACCCCCAAGCATTTTTGTAGCATAATATGCAAGGTGTTCGAAGAAGGTGTTGACAGTAAGATACGTACTGCACTTAATGGGGTCCTAGTGATGGCATACAGACTCAAAGGGACAACAAAACCAGTGCATATGCAATACTACTGATATATATAAAGATATACAACAAAGTCATTACCGTCACAAAGTGCACATTCAGGCTAAATGGATGTTATGATTGCAGCATTAAAGTGGTGCACTCACAACAGAAACACACACAGCATTACTTTGCTTCGTTGTTCTAAAGGCCCAGTTTAAAATTCGGCCACAGTCTCTAGTGTATGATTTGTGTGTGATTTGGGTCATCAGTATTGAGGCTGAGTGCTATATATAAGCAGGACCTAAGGCAACACAGACTGTTTGCTCACCATCAGGCTCCAAACGTCAAATGACACTCAGAAAACACTTTCATCCAAGAAGAGCCAGCTCAGATGTAATAACACTATCTGAGCAGCCCGCAAAGAAAATTCAGTGTGACTTACACGTTCTGAAGATATCGTTATCTCTGATTGCAAATCCATTCCAGTCCATTGTGAATAATCGGCCATGAAATCATAGAAAAACAAGACTTCAGAACTTCCCTGAGACTCAGTGTCAAAGTACAAGCACCTCACTTCATCGCAAGCCTTAGTGAGGGGAGGTCCCAGCAGGTGAAATGAAGACATGGTACATTTCAAACTAAAAAAAAAAAAAAGGTTTCATACAAAGTAATGACATTACACAGTAAGATCTTACCTGGGTCTTGTCCTGTCTCTCTTCTACTATCTACTGTACCTACCCTATCTACAGTCGGTGTTCCTATTAAAATGAAGCATGACAATCAGAAACAAACTTGTTACGTAAGATTATCTCTGCCTACGCACAGGGCCAATTGCCAGTTATACACGACAAAACATCACCAGGGTAACTATTTAGAAAACAAGTAAACTCCTTTTCTAAAACCATCCCATATTTCAACCATCTTTCCACATGTCTCAAAAATGTTCCCTTCCCTATCAACATTTACAAGATGGAAAACATATTGCACATCCCAGTTATCACACTTCTTCTTTCTGTATGTTCACTGTAAACTAAAGGGGTTGCTTGATGCTGATCACACATCACAACTCTCCAGTGTGCTGCATCCCAAATATCATCACATTCATTTTAGGTTAATGCAACTGGGTATTATCAATTCTCTCAGTATGACTCAGTTTTATCCTAAGTATTTGGGTGAAAATCTAAAGTCTGATCATTCACTACAATAGATAAAGTACAAAAAAGCAAGCAACCAACACTAATGCATTTGAAAATTATAAGCAAAGTACAGCACACATATCATGTTATTAATTCATAGGTGGGCGCTTTCAAATTCAAACAAAGATAGTTTTAAAAAAGAAGGGTTTGCCTTCTGCACTGTGTCAATTTCATGTCTTCACAGAGAAGAAAATGTTCGTCACCACAGAGACAGTGTAAGGCAGGAAAAAGATGATCTGTGCTGCATCCTCATTGTTATTTTATGCACAAAAAGGTTGCAAAATATCTTTTCAATTCATTTTGACAGAAGCTAGAAGACGCTGCATGCTGGCTGCCTGAGCACTGGTGCACTTTTCCTCCATCTGTGAAACCAGCAATCAAAGGGGGATAAACTGTGATATTCAACATGCTTTATGCTAATGTGGCTCTGTTGTAAAGCTTTTAGGAAAGAGGGAGCTATTAATACAAGACAGATTCTTGCCCAATATGCATGTAAATCCTAACCTTTTCACATCCTTAGTGTCTACCAATGAATTCAACATAGTGTATCATCCACTGTGCAGCTCTTATTTAATAGAAAAAAAACAGATTGTTTTACTTGCTTGTTTGTAATTTCTCGGCAGAAGAGATCAATTTTAGAAGATGAGATTTCACTGAAATAAAAGCTCTGGAGGGATCATATGCATGCTAAATTTACCAATGTGCCTTCACACAGCTGAGCAACACTCTGTTCTCCATGTTTTATGTATATAATATGGAAGATGAAGACATAATAAGAAGTACTGAACATGTAGATATGAGCCAGGAGTGAAGAACAGAAGACACAAAGCACCGGCTCTGCTGAGTCTATCCCTGTCTCCATGTCACTTTGCCATTTACAATTGCATCACTGTGTGTGGGCGACCTGCGTGTGCACTTGCATAAGTGTGTGTCACTGCGTATGAACGTGGGAGTATGTCTGCAAAGGTGTGTTTGTGCAAGTGTGTGGGTGTTTGTATGGGTCTGAGTGTGCTTGTGGACATGGCTCTATTCATTTAGTATGTGCGTGTTTGTGTCTGGGCGGCCTGCGGACAGATGTGGGTGTCTGGCATTTCAAGAGCCGATGTCAAAGACCTTTAGTTCTGCATCTGATGTGGTGTGTTTTGTGCAGGAGACTGTGTCGAGTTATGAGTAAATAAAGTGACAGAGAAGACGACAGCAAGGAAAAGCAACAGAGAAGCATTGAAAAAACAAATTCAAAGACTCATTAATAACACCTATGCTTTTCCTTCCAGGATAAATAGTTCTCCGACTGAGTTAACAATAGTAAAAGTATAAAATATTACCTGTCCAACCAGGCGAGTAGGCTCTTGGCCGCAGTGATGAGGTCAACCACAGAGGTCAGCAGATCATTAGGCAGCCGCCGCGAGGTTCTGCTCTCTGATTGGCTGCTTCGACGGCGACTAGAAATAAAGTTCTGGAGGTTCTTGGCTGAGGCTCCAAGTTTGTGAGCCAGAGTCCTGACACTCTCTGTCTCCAGACCTGAATTCTGCACACACGGGGATGTAAACACAGATTAGATGAACCTCCAGACAGTGAACCACCATGAATACAAATGAGTGTTAGTCAACATATTTTACGAGGCTTCCTTAAGGTGTCTGGAGCAACTTACAGTATATAGCAGAGAGAAGGTTATGACTACGGTGATGCAGTATGAAAAACACAGTAAATGTCTTAAAACGCCTAAACTCTGTGTTATGTATTCCAGCGGTGGGATGTAACTTGTGGTGGGAAGTACACTTACTCATGTACTTAAAACTGCAGTTATAAAGGTGAAACATGAGAGTCCAGCTCTGCACTGACACTGCAAACAAACACACACACAAACTCACCAGAGCACAGAGCAAGTCGACAGCCTCCAGAATGAGCTCCTGGTGCCCGATGCGAGAAACTCCCAGTTCCTCGAGCTCGGCGTGGCTGATCCGCAGCAGCCTCTCCCCGCACATACCTCCGCGCTCAAACACACACACATACTGCTGCAAGCAGTCATCCAAACCTGGAACAAACATATTAGGTTACACACAAGAAACTCTATACTTATACTCACTTTTGTTTCCAAATCAGATCACAACAACAAGGAGGATAAATTCTTCAAAGACACTGGGAACAGGGAACAAAACACAATTCCTATATGTTGTCTGGAACTGTACAATAATAGTTTCTGCTTTTCTGATTCTCCTAGAAACAAATGAATGCATGTATAACATTTATATACATGTGTACTGTCTGTATATACATGTTGACAGCAAATTTCATATTTATATGATATATGTGAAATGCAACAGTTTATCTCAGACAATACAACTGTGATGTCTGAGACATTTCAGCCCTAACCCTAACCCATTTTGTAGATTTCAGCCCACTGCTTTTTCGAAACCACAGAATATAGTAGAAGTATTGAATGCAGCTTGTTTTAAGAGACACCTAAGGAACAGGTGTTTTAGGACTTCTTTTGTTTTCTTTTCCTTTGTTTTCACAAGGCAGACACCATCTTGTTCTTGGCTTTTATAAGCTAAATGTGTGACTTTGAAACCTGTTTCACCATGCAATGATAGGAGCCCCTCAGTCTTCCTCTCTAACAGCGCTAAAGGGGCTGATAAAGATCTACAGTTCTGGGACTTCTATCAAGGCTAAAAGCTTTACAACATCAAGTCAGGATACTAGCATGAACTAGTCAGTTTCCAATATAGATCATAGAAGATGCTTTTATAACAGTCCAGTTCCAGACATCCACTGATTTTCATTCATTTTAATTAATTAATTAATTAATGCTCACTCTAAAAATATTTTTCTTATTAACTAAAAATATAATTAACAGTTTAATCAGTAATGAAAGGTTACAGTAGTTATTTGTTAAACACTTTAGCATTGTTAGTTGTGATTTTCTAGATGGGTGCTTTGTAGTAAAGAACCGCTTGTATGATCTTTTGTAGAACCCATGCTGTACATTGTACAGCAAGTACTTTTAGAATCATGCAAAACGCTGCTTGACCCATGAATACTTCCATGCTAGAGCAGAGAAGCAGGCATTATATGAAGTTTGTCTAAAGTCTAGAAACAAAGCGGCCTCAGATCAGAACTACATATATTTATGGGTTTGTATCCAGCTAAGTCTCTGAAGGACCCAGAACAAACTCTGCCTGAAACAAGAGTCGAGAGACTGGGCCAAAAGAGGTAATGGATGGGCAATCAGGTGGCCATCCAGGCAAGGCTTTACCCTCTGCTGGATTGTATAACATCCGTGTTGTGAACGTGTGTGGGACAGTCTGTAGAGTGTGCAAGTGGGTGTGTGTGTGCACTGTTGATGTCTGTGTGCATGTGTTCATCTCAGTTAGAGCAGATTTGCTGAGTCAAAAGGAAAGCAGATCAAGACATAGTGGCTCAGCTGCAGCCCCTGGCTCCCAAAACAATGAATGTATCCAGCTTTTGACCTCCTAACAAACAGCCAACTGGCAAACACACACACAAACACATCTCTGAGGAATGAGCACCGATTTCCCCTGCTTGATAATACACTCATCTATCATAACCACACTAACAAAGATGGGGAGAAAAAGCAGGAGGGGAAGAGAGTTGAGGAAGAAAAAGAAGGAAAAAGGGAAAGTGCAAAGAGGAAAAGAAAAACCCTCATACGCCAGCTGCTAAACTGCATGCAAACTATTTCACACACACAAATTCCATCTCTCATTAGCAACGAGTAAACAGCATTTGCCAGCTCCTGCACCCTCCCATCAGTTATCCCAAGTCTAAATGATGTGTTCACTTCCAAAAAGCTATATAAAGCTTGTAAAATGAAAAGTAAGCCTGATACCCACCAAAAAAAGGAAGAAAAAAAACACTTTATTTGTTAAAACATGAACTTTCATGGTTCTAAAATGAAATACTAGCAATCAATTTTGTAGATTAGGCATCATGTTTTCACCTTTATCTCATTCTGCAAGGAAATTGATTCCACTATCTGAACCCGCAGGGACTTCAAGTCAATGCAAAGTCTCATCTCACAGCTTCCTCTAACACACGTGAAAGAACATGATAAGAAGAAAGACTTCAAGCTGCTGAGATATGATCGACTGTTGTGGTTTGCAGCTTTAATGTTAGGTGAAGGTCACTTGAGTACTTCGAGGGAAATCTGTGACGAGAGGTCAAATTAACTTCTGTTAGTCTGTTGAGATTTTAATGTACACACTTCTCTATGCAAATGGGACCGAAAGTGGTCACAGAAAGTGAGAACTTAAAAACAATTCTGAGGTAGTTCTATGCACAGTTTTTCCATTTTATGCTACATTACATATCTAGTCCACAACACAATGCAATTATTTTACAGCTTTGCTCACTATACAATGCTCCATAAAACCACTGCACCCAGTTGTTGTTTGCACCATATATGCTAACATGTTAATTAGTTGAGAATCAGAATCAGAATCAGCTTTATTAGCCAGGTGTGACGGACACATGAGGAATTTGACTCAGGTACATCAGCTCTCAATGTGCAAAACAGTAAACCAGCATAAGGCTGTGTAATATAACAAAATAGCAGTATTAACATCAACAAGCAGTGCAAACAATGCAGAAAAAGCTGTATAAATAGACAGTAAACAATGCAGACAACAAAGGAATGTTCATTGAAATGAGTAGGGATAAAAACAGAGTACCTAAAACTAGAGACCTCTATGACTCTGTATAATCTGTACAATGCATATATATCATATGGTCATTGGTTAAGTGATCAGCAGAGCGACAGCCTGGGGGAAGAAACTGTCCCTGTGCCTGGTTGTCTTGGTGCACAGTGACCTGTAGCGCCGTCCAGAGGGGAGGAGTTCAAACAGATTGTATCCAGGGTGTGAGGGATCAGCAGTGATCCTCTCCACCCTCCTTTTGACTCATGAGGTGTACAGGTCCTCCATGGAGGGCAGGCTTGCACCAATGACCTTTTCTGCAGTCCTCACTGTCCGCTGAAGTCTGTACTTGTCCTGTTTGGTTGCTGAGCCAAACCAGACAGTGATGGAGGTGCAGAGAACAGACTCGATGATTCCTATGTAGAACTGTAACAGCAGCTCCTGAGGCAGGTCGAACTTCCTGAGCTGGTGCAGGAAGTACATCCTCTGCTGTGCCTTCTTGGTGATGGTCCTGATGTTGGACGTCCACTTCAGGTCCTGGGAGATAGTGGAGCCCAGGAACTTGTAGGACTTTACTGCTGATACAGTGCTGCCAAGTATGGTAAGTTGGGGTAAGGTGTAGTCATTGGTGTAGAGTGAAAACAGCAGAGGGGAGAGCACACATCCCTGGGGGGCACCTGTGCTTATTGTCCGGGTGCTGGATGTGGTTTTCCCCAGCCTCACTTGCTGCTTCCTGTCTGTCAGAAAGCTAGTAATCCACTGACAGGTGGGGGCAGGCACAATGAGCTGGGTCAGTTTGGAGTGGAGGATGTCTGGGATCATGGTGTTGAACGCTGAGCTGAAGTCCACAAATAGGACCCATGCATAGGTCCCTGGGGAGTCGAAGTGTTGCAGGATGTAATGCAGTGCCATGTTCACTGTGTTAGGTATTTTTAGTCAGATAGATATTGGTTAGATACTTTATGTATTAGAAATGTTTAGTGGAGATAGGATGTCTAGTTAGACTGTTAAATGCTTAGTCATGCTTATGAGTTTCTACAAGGTGCATCTGGTCAAGGATAACTAGAGAGAAAAGTTGATGACAGCAGACAGGATGTTTAATATTGTTATTATGATGTGTATAACTGTAGTCTTATATTTTCTTATGTTTAATGTCATGACATGGCACTAGAGGTCGTGTGAGAATGTTTTTAGCTACACACCACTTAATCAACAGACACACACACATTGATTTGCTTCATGTTTTGACTACTGCTATGACCAGCTGCAAAGCTGGCACCAGAGACGTCGTGGTTGATGTTTCTGTGTAGTATGGGGCTAGCCCAACCGAGGGGATATAATGTACAGGCCTTGTTTGGTTCGGGGTCTTTCATCTTTCATCTGCCTGCGTGCAGTTTGGAGGTGCAAGATGCCTGAGCGTGTAATGTTAATTTTTACCTGTGTTCATGGAATAAATCAGCACAGCGGCGGGTTCCATAGCCAGTGATGGTTTTCAGGCTCCCCCACACCGACGACGGGTCGTTGGCCAAAACCTGGGCTTTCAGCTTTTTAGAATAGCTCCTCTTTGCTGCTCTGATCTCCCTTGTCAGTGTGTTCCTTGCCTGGCTGTACAGAGTCCTGTCCCCACTTTTTTAAGCCTCCTTTTTTGCACGATGAAGCTGCTTGAGTCTGGCTGTAAACCAGGGCTTGTTGTTGTTGTATGTGCAGAAGGTTTACTTTTACTTTAGACCAAACCAGGCTAGTGGTTCACTCTTCTCCCAGTCTTTATGCTAAGCTACATTCATCATGGTTGGCTCTAGCTACATACTTAACACACAGACATGAGAGTGTTATTGGCCTTTTCATTTACATGCAACTCCCAGCAAGCAAGTAAATAATAAAAGCAATACAACTAAGCTGTTAAACCACCTAACAGTTATAATTAGCTTGATCTAAAGTTGAAAAAAACATGAACATGTTAGTTCTGGTTGAAACAACCTCCTATTATTGTGTTTTTATGTTGGTTTGTCTAATGTATAGTGTGTTATTTATCTATTTATTTTTACAAACTTTGTACAGCACTTTGGTCAACTATGTTGTGTTTAATTGTGCATATGCAAACCGAGTTGCCTTGACATAATCAATCAATAATAATAATCCAATAAATAGTGTTGTAGTTCTTGAGTAAAGGACTTTTCAGCACTCAACCTGGACACTGATGAGTTAGACTCAGACTTGAGCATTAACTGCATAGGAAACGAGGACTTAAACTTTTCTATAAGTGGCCATAATAACCCAGAATATTGTAAAAAATCCAAAGTGTTGACTTGCACTCAAAGTAGTTTATAAGTGCATTTGTTTGGTTACTGTGTCACATACCGTAAGTAAACTCCTTTTAAAA